TAGGGTGACATATTCATCGATATATTGTTATGCATAATAGATTTGTTTTTTTAAGAAAGGTTTATTAATTATTTTTTTATTTTATTTTCATTGTATATACAAAGCACCTATATGTAGATCTATACAATAGAATATTCTTTGATACAAAACCAATTAACTTAGTTGTATACAATCAATTACAATTTGAACATATTAATCTAGTGTGAAGACTAATATTCTAACATAAATGCTAATGTGAACATACTAATATAGTATGAATGCTAATATTCTAACATCCCCGCAACCTTAAGGTGGTATTCAAGAGACCAAATTGAGTTTGGAAAAAAGAGATTGGAAACATCCACAAAAGTAAGCCTTAGTGAACAAATCTGCAAGTTGATCAACAGAACTAGTGAAAATCAAATGAATAGTTTCCTTTGCAACATAATGACGAATAAAGTGACAATCAATCTCAATATACTTTATGTATTCATGAAATACATCATTGTGAACAATTTGTATAGCACTTTGTGTTGGCTCAATGCACTCCAAGAGGAGGGTGAATTGGAGTTCAAAAATTTTCACCTCTTTGAAGCTACCAAACAAAAATTAAAGAGAGAGTAGGGAAAAATAGCTTGCACAATGATTTTATAGAGGTTCAGTCCAACCACTTAGAGGCTAATTCTCTACCTTGGCTCGTTCACCAAAGATTTCCTCTACACTCTCCACTAAGAAAAATAAAGGTGGCTCAAAGAAGTCACTCAATTTTTTTACAAGAAGAAAGGTATTTCTCTCAAATCTCACCCTTTTATAAGATAAACCCCGACAATCCTCTTTACAGATCACTCTTGAAGGAATAATCACACCCCTTAAGATAACACATAAGCAATGTTTTGAAAACCGACTTGGAGGTCAAACCATTTTGACCTCTGGTTCTCGGTTTGATTGGTTTAACCAATTAAATCGCTCGAACCATCAATTTAATTACATATGAATAAATATAATATGATGTAATGATCTAACATGACAGATGTAGTGGCTTGATTGGTTTGTCACTTCGCTCATCGTGGAGGAAACGCGTGTTCGAGTATGGTGGGCATCAAAATGTTATTATCATATTTCTAAATCTTCCACGTAAAATATATGTAATTTTTTAATTAATTTATATAAAAAATTATAAAGATTGACTTTAAATTAATTAATTAATCAATTAAAATCATCTATTT